GCAGATTTTGGGGTCTTACTGTGTTGCATTTCCTTACCTAAATGTTTGAAAATACTAAGACTTCAGATAGCGTAAAATAAAACTGTGTAAACACGTTCTCCATTTTAAGTATCTGAACAGGACACTGCAGTGCTGTTAAATTGGAAGGCAGGTCAAAAAGCAGTTTTAGGAGTTCTACATTGATAGAGAAAATTACTTAAGAACTTCCCTGGGAAGCATGACTTCTTGGTAAATTGTATCTTTTTCATATTTGCAGACAAACCTTTAGGATTGTCTGCTGACCTGAAAAAAGCATGAGCCCTTCTGTGTATGACATACTTATGAAGACACATATGGAGGACACAGGGAAGAAACTTGTGAAGTGTTCCGACCCAACATATGATCTTATTCTATATACATTCTTCTATGACCTTTATCATTGAAGAATTTAATTACTTAGTAAAATAAGAGACTGCAAACATTTTTCTTATGTTTCCCCTTACAGAATAGGGTAGGTATTGTGACCTCTTGTTTCAGATTTTATTCCTTTTTTTTTTTTTCAACTGTGACTTGCTCTGTGGGTTTTCTTTTTTGTTTTGCTTTCTTTCCCTGTAGCTGGAGAGAAGAGCAAGGATATACTCTGATTTTCCATTCTTCCCTTGACACTTGTAGTTGAAATGACAATATGAAATAACCTGTTAAAAGGTGGTTCAAAAAGCTGCTTTTAATGGACAGTCCACTACACCTGTATCATTAAAAGCAGACTGCATAAGACCTTTCTGGGCCTTTGTATCCAGAGCTATTGGCTATAATCTTTATGGATCCTAATACACATATGCTTTTAAGTCTTGTTTTCAAAAGTGTTCTAATTTACTTAAGTGCTCCAAGGCCACATTTTGTTAAAGATACTGGAAATTAAGTGCTTGGGTGCCTTCTCAAAACTGTTTTGCAATTTGGTATAGAGATGCTTGTGCTACACATTTCAAAAATAGTGGGAGAGAAAGCCTATTTTCTCTGGAAGAACTGAGGGAGCTCTCAGCTGAGTGTTTTCCTTCTTCTGATGTGATTGGTTCTGCAGTAGCTTGTAGTGCTGGCCCACTTCACTACCTGTTGAAGTGGTCTGTGCTCAGCCACTGAGTCATGTAGTAGAAGCATAAGTGTTAGGCTCTATTAGTCTCTTGCTACACAAGTGCAAGTATTGATGCTGAGTATTGATGAATGCCGAGTCTGGTCGTTCTTTAGACCAACAGTCTTGATAGTTCAGATACTTCAAACATTTAGAAAACTAAATGTCTTAATAATTTATGAAGTCCAGTTTAAAGTAAGCATATATATGAAAGCCTAAACTTTTTATCATTACATTTTAAACTATAATTACAAGAAATGAAGATGTGAACAATAAGGTTATTATAACCTTTTGTGTGCCACTGAACTGAGATCATTGTTAAGAGTATTTTAATTTGTCCGGTTAAGTTCATAGTCCTCACTAATGGGTCCATTAGCTTTTTATAAAATGCTACATGTTGATCTCATGGAAAAATCAACATAGGAAGCCTGGTTGTTTCACATCATAGTTGCTTTGTCAGAAGACTTACTGGCAACCTCCAGTGAGAGGCCTAGTTCTACACTGAGACACATCCTGTGTTTTTTCATTTTTTATTATTACTTTTAGCCAAGCAAAAAGACTCTTGCAGAAATGCCTACTGTTGAACTGTGTTGTGAAATTCAAAGTTTTATCAATCTATGTGCTGTTCTTTTACAGTCAAAAATCAGTGAGCTATTATTTATGTCAAATACAACTTTCACATCAATAGTCTTTACATCCTTCCTTTACCTTTACTGTGAAGCCATTTGGAAGACAGCAGTCTTCTATTGAAAATGGATCTGTGATCCATTTTTTGTTTGTTACTGCCGTGAAAGATTTTTTTAAATTAAATTTAGTGGTTCAAATTCAGGTAGCATACTTCTATGTTAGCTTTGAGGTCAAAGTGTATTTTCACTTTATTTTCAGAAAGGATTTTTTTAAGGTTTGCAAACACTGACTGTTTTGTTCCTTTTCTTCTGGTATAAGCTGCGTTTTACCATGCCCTTAGTTTTGTCAACAGTGTTTAGAAAGTTTAGCTTTCAGCTACTGCTAACTGATAACCAGTTAATTTACATAGGTGAACAAGTTAACTAAGGAGGCTACTCTTGACAGCCATAACTAGTTCAAAATAATCAGTGTTTAGAACTAACGTCGCTGTGAAAAACAGGGCTCCGGGAGAACTTGAGCTTGACTCGACGTGAATGAGTTGTTGGTTACTTCTGACTTTATTGCCCAAAAATGAAAGTCAGCGTTAATTCAGTGCTTCTACTTTAGTAAAACTGATCAACAATCCATAGCTTTTATTTTTCTTAAATCAAGCTCCCCTTATTTCACAATTGAGAGTCATTGCAAATAAGCAGGCAGTGTCAGACCTTCTAGAACTCCTGCACTGTCAGCGGGTTGTAGCAGGAATATTACCAAGTGTCCCTGAAATCTCTCGGTCCACCTTTTGCATGTTGTATCCATTGTGGGGGTTTTTTTTGTTGGTTTGGTGTTTGGTTTTTTCTTTGTATATGCGAAATGTATTAAGGAAATTTTCCAGAGAAGGACAGAGAGATTTAACTTAGAAAGTGTCAACTAAAGGTGTGTCTGGCCACTCAGTTTAGACTCCAGGAGATCTTTTTGTTCCTCAGCAGCTCTAGGTATCTCAGATATTGCTCTTTGTGTAATGCTGGATGTATCTCAATCTCAAGGATTTTTAGGTGCTAAGAGTCAGCCTAGTCAGCTACCCTTCTGCATAAGACTTATCTATGTTTTCCTAGTCTTATAGTTGAGCTTTTATCTGCTGTGTAAATTTGTCTATTTTTCACTCTCAGTATACACTTCAGCCATAGGGAACTCACCATGCATCCATGGTTTCTTAGCTCCTGCTGTTTTGCTCTGGACAGTAAGTAGCTTGCTTTTTGGGAGGGGTCCCCTTAGCAAGAGAGTTGGTTTGGTGGCAGCAGATTCTCCATTTATTTTGAACTTGCCCACTAGCATGTGTTCAACAGGAGGGACCTCAGCAATGAGGAATGGAACTTTACAGGTTTGTCTGAGTAGCTTGGGCTGTGCAGCTTGACACATGCTGAAGGTAACCCCCAGCAGAATACTAGCCAGCCAGCTGTGTGCCAGATGACAGCACAGCACCCAACAGCACACAGCCATTTTGTGTGAGACACTGTTAAATAAAATACTATGCTACAATCACTTCCTTTAGCTGAAAGTGTCTGGGGAATGTGTTAGGTACTGGTGCATTTTTTGAGCAGTCCAGTGCTCATGACCACTGTCTGAAGGTAAAAGGTGTTTGGAAGTGGGGAAGGGGTTTAAGTAGACTGGTTCCCAGCAAATACGGAAAGATTTTTTTATAGTCATGCTTTCCATATTCAGAGCTTACACTTAGAAAATTATGCAAGTATTGCTCCTTAGGATAGCCCCAATATGGTTACGAAGTAATTCTGAGAATGGCGTGTTAAAGTGCAGTTCAATGTATGAAATTTCCTTGGAAAATGTTCTTTGTTTTCTTAACGCCATAATATTCTTGCTATCTAAATGTGTTCTCTGTGTCAAATCATTCTCAGTTTTACCTCAGAAAAAATTGTCTGAGATTTCAAAGGGAGTTTTGCCTCAGGTAGGACTTGCAACATCAGGACCAGGAATTAGTGTAATGTGACCCACCATTTGTATTGCTTTGGGGTAAATTTGAGAGAGAAGATTTAACATAGTGTGTGTCATGCTGAGATATTGCAATATCTCGGATGGGTTATTAGGCACCAATCCAAAGGTTAAGTGCAGCAACCACATGAAATGTGGCTTTATCCTTACATGATCTATGCCCGTGTTCTGTTTTCTAGTCCCTTGAAATAGGTATTTTCCCTGGAATAAAGCAACACATTTATAAGACTTGATTAAAACTTATCCCGAGCTATTAAATGTAGTTTTCGTAGAAAAATGTGTGCATATTTTGTAATTTCAAATTTACAAATCAGTCCTTCTATGTGTGAACTAATTGAAATTTTGAATCTGGATCCTAGTGTGCACTAGATAAATATTCATGACCTTTGGGAAAGTCTAGATATGAATTTGCAGCTTAGCACCTTTTCTAATTTATATGCATTTATCTTTTTGGGGTTTTATTTTCCATGCTTTTTTTTTTTTTTTTTGCTTGGCTTGCATTAAATAAAATGCTTCAATGGAGTGTGGTAGTCTAGCATTTGTTTTGCCTCTGGAGTAGATTGCCCCATCTTGCATATCTGGTCAAGTAAATTGCTCTCTTGCCTGTGTACTTCAATAATAGCGCAGGGCTTTAGACCTTCCTGTACAACCCCACAGCGAGCAGAACTGCAAGGGGCTGGGCCTCTGTTGTACTAGAAATCTTCTCTATTGTAATGATTGCATTCATCTCCTATTTGCATAAAGTAATAGTTAAAAGTTGTTTGGTTGCTAAAGAAAACTCATTAAGCTTTCAGAGAGTAGCTGTGTTACGAGCACTGTGGCAATCACTCCCATTGACTTATCTCCTGCTGGTTCACTGGGAACCAGTCCATCTCAGGGTCAGGTCCCTAAGCTTCAGTGCAGAATTAAAGAAGTAGCATTTAAAAGAAAATGCAAATAATCTGTCCAATGCAAAGTGGATGTTGGGAAACTTACTTATGAAAAAGAAGTCTGTTTAACATTTTTTTAAATAAAATCTCATTTTGTCTGAAAGGCTAGTTTTTGCTCAGGAAAGAGATTGTATTTTTGATCCATTTTCCACTAGTCACTGGAGAATGTTTGACATTGTGAGAGAAAGGTCAATTTGTATAACCTGAAGTGGGAGGGGAATGTTTAATGTGAAAAGCATGGCCACTTTTTTTTTAATTATTATGAATTGAATGTTCTGCTTTGCCTTTTTAATTTATCATCTTCAGTATATTATTTTAATATTTTTATTTTGTATTTGTGGGTTTTTTTATAGATTGGAGAAAGAGAGCATTCAGCAAAGCAATAGCAATAAAGCAAAGGCCCGAGCCCTGCAGGCCCAGCAAAGAGAGCAGGAGCTGACACAGAAGTTGCAGCAAATGGAGGCCCAGCATGAGAAAACTGGTAGGTGGAAGGGAAAGATTAGAGCCTGGGCGCTCACTCACAAGCCAGGCCCACGCCTTACTGTGAAATGACATCAGGAACACCTGTAACCTTTGGCTGGCCGAAGGGAGCAGATGCTAACTACACCGGAGATTCCGAATTACATATTAGTTAGCGTTTAAAAGAGAAAATGGAAAGTATTGCCCACTGTCTGTTGATTTCAGAGTGCTGCTCTCACATCTGTTGCACCATCTGGATTATGAGTTTATTTACCTGTGTTCAAGAAACGTAAAGCTGAGAGAGACCACAACAAAGTAGAAAAACAAAGGGCTTGTTTTTGGCTGGATTTTCAGGCACACATGTTATATAAAGAAAATAGCATCAGAAGCTCTGCGGGAAATGCTCTGAGCTTACAGTTAAAGTCTCCTGAATAGCATTGAACAGTTCCCACAGTACACACATTATAGCTACTCTAAAAGCTTAATGAGTTTGCTTCGGCATCCAAACTGGAGAAAAGCTTTAGCCATTAATCGGTTCTTAATTCACTGTCGCAGCTGGATGTAATTCACTGGCTCCAAATTGATATGTTCCTTTATTTAATCTTTGCAGCCTCAAACATTTTTAGCATTACCATGTGCCCCCCCACACACCCTCAATCTAGAAGAAGGATGTTTAATCCCTCGCATACCTCAGCTTCTCTTAATAGGAGACTTCATTGCATTGACTTAGCTGATCAATAACGTCTAACCTTTAATCTGGAAGTAAAATCCTTTCAAACAAACAAAAAAAGCCTTTTGTTATTGCCAAGTGCTATGCCAACAACAGTAATAAAGGTGTATAGTATAAATAAAAGCATACATTTTTAGAGAGGAAATCTCTAACTCCTGAGCATGGAAAGGAGGAGGAGCTTCACCTCTTATGGAACATGGTATATTCATATGTTTAATAAAATATTTTTTACCCACCAGTCCTGCAATACCTTTAGAAAAATTATTTACCCTGTATTAATCCTCAGCAGTGTCAGATAATACCTGAGGTAGCAGGGACATGTACATCTGTCATCTGATTTTCTGCCTTATTTTGCAGCATTATCACAGTACTAGAGGACCTTTTTGTGTGTTCAGGGAATGCGAACAGCTACATCATGGCTTCTGTCTACACAGTAGGAAAAGAATAGAAGCTCTCAGGACCATTTTTCACTACTCCAGCCAGCACATCTGCCTATGACCAAGTGTAATTTTGCACAAGAGATGTATAATTTACTCTCCTGGTGCATAAATTGTCCCAGTATACAAAAATGAAACAACATAAAGGCTGAATTTGTTTTTATATCTCTCTAGTAGAATTAGAAGGTGTTGAAAATTATAGTAATTTATTATGTATATAAAGAAACCCTTGTGTATTATGACCCTACACGCATACAAGAGATTTGGTAACAGTAGTCTCTCTTTCTCTCATTTTAAAAGCAGAAATCAGTAAACATGATTTTGCAGTATCTTCTATTTAAAAGAATAAAAGGTTTGATTTCTATGTCATGAGTTTTAGTGCAACCCAAACTGATAGTAGCTGAAAATTAATTTATAAAATGGTTTCACTTCAACTGCCACTGGACGGTAAGTCTATATCTTATCATTAAAGAACAAAAAGACATTAATCAGGATTGCAAGACCTTGTGAATAGAAGAACTACTTTTTAAAGGAGAGAATGAAATGAGTCTACAGTGTGTCTGGGTTGCCCGTGTATCCTCTGCACCAGCTGAGTAACCAAAAGGCTGCTAAGGCATGTCTTACCCATTTTATCCTTTCCATAAATATAGATGAACTTCCAGCTGAAAGGCAAAATCACCACATTAGAGATACAGTTTTTGTGGTGATTCTTCTCATACAAGATCTGATTCAGTGGCAACATCACTTTAACACAGCTTTTATTTAGTGAAGGATGATGTCATAATTCCCTGTCCAAGTACCTGAAATTTAAAAAAACATATCAAATCCAGAAAGATCCAGAGGAAATAAATAAGGAATATATGGGGGTTTTTTTTCTAAGTTATCTGAAATGCATGTAATTGTAAAATAAATTTCTAGTTTTATTATTTTTAATTTCTAGTAAATGAACTGGACTCATTGCTGACCTCCCAGAATACATTCATAGCAAAATTAAAGGAAGAATGTTGTATGTTGGCAAGGAAGTTGGAACAAATGTCCGAAAAGTACAGGTTAGTATATTTATCTTATCCTGTCTGCTTTATTATTAGGACATGCGTTTTTGTATTTTAATATTATTATTATTCAGCTTGTCCCAGTTATTACACATGATCTTAATTTAAGATACACCACTTAAGAAACATGGATGGATTTTCATCCAGTCTAATTCTAATTTTCTACTTTTCAGATCATGTTTCCAGCTATTACTTCAAATTTCTTAAACAATTCTAGTGTAAAAACTGCATACTATTTTCTTCCTGATGTTCATTTTCTTGATATGAAGAGTGGGAAATTGTTAACATAGCTACCATTCAAGTTCATCTGACATTATATGAAAAATACTAAACATTTGAAGTTCACAAAACTGTAGTTGGTTGGTTTAATTATTTATTTAAATCTCCATTCATGATACTACACACACTGAATAATTATCTCTGAAATAATCACCATAAAAACTGCTTGTCATTGAAGCTCTGATTCTACTGGCACTTTTTATGTGGTGCTCTTTTTAAAATGAATAGCAGGTCTAAATGTAAAGTCATTAAAAATCAGGAATAGAACAGAACTTGGAAGCAATAACCAATTTAAATGCAGAAGTATGAAGGTATCTATTTAAAAGTTCTATAGGACAGGACTATCTTTTTTAAAAAATAAATAAACTAGGAATTTTGTAGTTGAATACCAGAAAATAATTTGATTTTATACTTTTAAGTGTTAAAATAGCCCCTATAGAAACCTTCTGCCGAGTTCATATTTAGAGTAGTAAACAGGACTTAAGTGAGGAGTTGGCATTCTGCAACTTCCATAAATTTCATGCAAAGTGAATTTGATAATTAAGGATAGGATTCATCTCACATGGCTTATGTGAAGTAAGGGAAACACTCAGCAAAGATAAACTTGGTTTTCAAGATAGGATTCTTCTTCTGCTGGGTGGATTTAATAATCCCGTTGAGATAACGTAACAGGGGCAACACTCACTCAGGGGGAGAGCTAATTTATCCTAACATTTCCAGGACTGGTCAAAGGAGAATGATGTAAATGGATGACAGACTTATCTATTTAAAAAAATATATATATACGATGCTTCCCACAGGTATTGCCTCCACTACCCATCCTACTTTCCACTGGAAAGGAGGAGTTGACTAGCTATTAAGTGTCTGAAAGTTGGGAGATTAATTCCATCTTGTGTTTGAGGAAGAAATGAGAAACTTGAGGAAATGTAAAAGAACTTCCCTTGCAGACCTTGCGATGGGTACTTGAGAAAGAAGCCAACGGAATTTTTCTTCTGAAATAACAGAGCTCTGCTGCTAAAGTAATACAAAATCTAAATAGATTCAAATCATATTACTATTATTCCAGCAATGAAAATGCACACAGACTTTGTTGCTAAAGCTCACAGTCACAGACTAGTAACTGTAAAAGGATGAAGGAAAGACAGAAAACATACTGTGAAAACACTATTCTCTGAAAATAAATACCAGAGATTGCCAAGTGTTTTTCCACCTAGCAGCATCAGCTGACTATGTCAAGTACCTGAAAAAGGGAAAAGGAGCCCTTGTGGATCTCCAGGACATGGTATATTTTGCACAAGAAGCGGTATGGAAGAATGTATGAGAACAGTTCTGAGAAGTGGCCCTAAAATAGCTTGAGCTTGTCTTCACTGGAGTGGGAGCTGCTGCAGTCAGTAACAAGAATGGAGAAACAGGTAGGGACAAGGAAAGCATGTGAAAATGAGAACAGAGAAGTGGAACTGGAGATG